TTGCAGCCGGCAAAAAAGTCTTTTCTCCTGAAAATATAGCTGTGAATTCTGTTGCCCGAAAATGTCAAATAAGTCGCTTATTGATGAACATAATTTGGAAAAATTATTCGTTCAGGTGTTATTATGATAGGTTGACGTAACCTCATTGCTTCATATTTGAGAAAGGGTTCAAATGATGTCAGAATTCCATTTACCTATGCAATAAAAGGGCTGATAATTGCTTCTCAAATGACACCAGGGATATATTCAACTATGTAATAAAAGAGGTGACAAAAAGCTTCTTCATTCATCTACGTGAATAAGAATGTCTTGTCATGTGAAAGGTCAAATCGATTACTTCGTTCCATCAACATCAATAACAAGTCATAGTAAAATGAAGTAGTTTCTCGCACTTAAATCGTAATCATTTTCGTAATTGCGGTAAAAATTGCTACAACAACTGCATTAGGTTGCTCAACAGCGCTTGTAAGCACCGAAACTATACATTTGTTGGTAAAATTGTCAGCTTTCTCTTACTCTTACTGTTAATCCCTGCACTTCCGTCCCATATGAAGACTAACAATAAGACTTCAATTTTGGAAATTGAGATTTCCAACGACTTATCAGCTCCCACAGAACAATGATCTGTTTGACTCAACTCTGGGATTGAACCTATTAGGTTGGCGGATAACAATTTTTACCACACTTTTGTTTTCACTTCTTGAAAAAAAAAGGTTTGAAAACACTTTATCTTCAGGGAATGTTGTTGCGGTGCAAAGTTCCATCCTCGGTACTGTTAGAAGTTTTATGACCTTTTGGTCGATGGGCTGGCATACTCCCACGTGATCAGCGAGAGACCAAACTATGTAATATTCGAGTAGGGTATGGTCCATAGTTCCCGGAGATATAGGGGGGGGGGGAGGGAGGGGATGGCACAATATTTGCACACATTCATTTGAGTCGTTAGTGCTGAGTACACGGAGCATCATCAACTCAGGTGTCAATTTTGACATCAATTTTTTGCATGACGAAAAAATTTCCTTTCAAACTCCTTGTATCTAATCTACACGCGCACACAAAAGAAAAATTTTTGGCGAATTTCTGATTTTAATTTGTCCCTTCGTTGTTGCCATGCTAGTGTTAGCAGAGTGTTGTCATGAAGACATTGCCAAAATACTTTAAAAAAAAAAAACTTCAACAGAGAAACACCTGGAAACCGTGAGCGTGTCTACAAAACTGTCTGAAACTTGCTGGCTCTTTGTACATTTGCGGCGTTAGTCATGCTCGTGAATAGATTCTGGTCCTAGGTATGAAGCGAGTTTGAAGGTTCTAGAAAGATTTTAGAATTCTCGAGAATTTTACAAGACACTGTAATAGAGATTATTCGTCAACTTAATAGAACTTTAAGAGCATTGCTGTGAGAATTAGTGTGAGCTCAAAAAGCTTTAGCCCATTTTTTATCTTTATAAAGATCTGCTTAGATATGAAGGGAGATAATAGCGATTTTACTTATATAAGCTTTTCTCCAATGTCCATTCTTTTACGGGATTCTTTATTGTATTATAAACTTAAATCGAATCGATCTTCGCCATCATTACAATATGGCCTGCAGTTCATAAATGCAATTTCTATCAGGCGAATTTCGGTAAATTTGCTTCGCAACCGTCAAAGTATCAATCAGGGCCCGGCACGAGCTTGTCAAAAGGGGTTTTCGAAAACGAATTCCCCTTTGACCCAAAATTTTTTTACGATTTTCCCTTTGACCTGAAAATTGGTCCAGTGATTGCGCAATGAACACTTTACCCAAGGAAGAACATTTATTGAAGAAAACACCAAAAACAATGCAATAACAAAGAGAAAAAAGAGATCAGATCAGAGATCTCGAGTGATATCAATGACAATGGCACCGGTAGCTGGGGGGTCGGGGGGGGGGGGGGGGGAGGGAATGGGGGGGGGGAACTCGTACCATCTATATGCTCACAATTTCTGAAACCTTTCACCCTCAAGTACTCGGGTTCCACACATACTCCTCACATTCCCGTCTTCTCATCTTTTGAGTACTCTGCTAATCCTACAAACATACCCCTAACACTCCATTCAATCATCCTCAGCCTCAAGTAATCTACACCCTCAGTACCTTTCACACTTACCCTCATCCTCAAATACTCCCACATCCACTCTTGATTTCCACTCCTCTCACTCACTCGCCTTCTCCCCCCCCCCCCTCTCAAAAAATCAGCAAGCTAGTGTTTGCGCTTTGATTTTTTGGACCTCAAAAACACTCGAGTGCAGTTTCGGCTTACTAGAGTGTGCCGAGTGGCACACTCTAATAAGCCAGAACTCTTTGTTCGGCATTTTAAGGCTCTCACAACGCTTAATTGGCCTTCTGAAATGATGACCTATACACAAATCGCGCTTGTTGACCGTCTCCTATTTTAGGGTACTTTATTTGTGCTGTAAGGTACCCTTTGATTCAATTGGCTTGGCGACTGAAAGGCGGGGCTTCACAACCTAACTAAGGCTAAATAATGATCAGAGAGCACGCGCGCGAGAGACGTAGACTGCGTCGCGGGTGCGAGCGACCTTAATTAGGTTACAAAGCCCCGCCTTCCAGCCGCCAAGCCAGTTGATTCAAAGGTTATACACTCACGCTGATTACAAGAAATTACGCATGATAATGCTGCTGTGAGGCTACGATAACATTGCAGAAGGCTTGATTTTGAGGTGTTGGAATCGCTGAACCTTGAAGTTCTTATTTATATTAGCTGACTAGCTGGCTTGCCCGGCTCCGCCGGGCCTGCCAGCTAGACCCGTGTACGTATGTTCCAAATAGAAAATTCCATTTCTGAACCGATCCGGACCAAACTTTGCACACATACACTTCGGGCCCCGGCGGGTGTCACAGTCCACTTTTCGTTATCGATCGATGTCGATTATACCGATTTTTATCGATCTTTTTTGCAGAGTTCACCTACAGGGCTAGGAGTTGGCACAGGGGGGAAGTGAGCATGGGGATTCCGAATACAATATTAGTTTTCAGAATTATCGATTACTTTTATTGATTTTATCGATTTTTTGTAAATTTTGACATGCGAGGCTGGGATTTTGCACAGGGGGGTAATCGAGCATGCTGATTACGAACACAATATTAGTTTTCAGGATCGTCCATTACTTTTATCGATTTTATCGATTTTTTGTAAAGTTTGACCTGCGGGGCTGGGAGTTTGCACAGGGGGGTAATCGAGCATGCAGATTACGAATACAATAATAGTTTTCAAGATCGTCCATTACTTTTATCGATTTCATCGATTTTTTGAAAATTTGAGCTAGGGGGCTGGAATTTGGCACAGGGGTGTAATCGAGCATGCTGATCACCCCCCTTGGAGATGATCAGCATGCTCGATTACCCCCCTGTGCTAACTCCCAGCCCCCTAGCTCAAACTTTGCAAAAAAATCGATAAAATCGATAAAAGTAATCGATAATCCCGAAAACCAATATTGTATTCGGAATCCCCATGCTCGATTACCCCCCTGCGCGAACTCCCAGCCCCGTAGCTCAAACTTTGCAAAAAAATCGATAAAATCGATAAAAGTAATCGATAATCCTGCAAACCAGTATTGTATTCGGAATCCCCACGCTCGATTACCCCCTGTGCCAACTCCCAGCCCCGTAGGTGAACTCAGCAAAAAAATCGATAAAAATCGATAAAATCGATATCGATCGATGACGAAAAGTAGCCTATGACACCCGCCGGGGCCCGAAGTGTATGTGTGCCAAGTTTGGTCCGGATCGGTTCAGAAATGGAATTTTCTATTCGGAACATACGTACAGACATACATACAGACAGACATACAGACAGACAAACAGACATTCAGCTTTATATATAAGATCAACATTTCTGCACTCTCAGCGATTTAATCCCTGGTACCGATTTCACCGATTTCATTTTCGATATTTTGATTTTTGTAAATGTCACTATCACTTATTAGGACACATGTGCTGGCAAAAAAACCGTAATCCATTCAAAAATTGAGCTCTTTAGGAACCAAAAGTAAACTAGAATGCAACTACTTTCTAATAAGTATCATGTAAAAAAATTTGGGAGCGAGTTCTATAGAAGCGTAACGCTAAGTTCCTCTCATATATAAACATCTAGCTGTCATCAGTAATACCACAACAAGTCACAACAAAACAAATATATCGTGAAGTCACCATATCCAAAATGTCCAAGACCATTGGTAATAGTGAGGATAGAGAAAAAAAAAGAAAAGATGACCAAAGGCGACATAAGCCTTGCATTTTCGCTCACCTTCTCCTGGGTGCCTCATCTTTCGTAACCCACATCGTGTACAGTCGAGTAGATTTAGCGGTAAATATAGTGTGCACAGAAGGTGAAATGCGGTAGAATTTGCGCGTGAAGAAATACCCTAATTTCCGGGGTATAAGGCGCACCTTGTATAAGGTGCACCCGCCGCAGCGAACGATGGCGCAAAAACGCTTTCTAAATGATTGCTCTTTGAATCTAGTTAGAGGTTTGTTCTAAAACAAATCACTATGAAGAGGAAAACAGCAACGAACGGGAGCAAAAAGTTACTGCTGGGTGAAAGAGGTTGCTGTGGCTGCTTGTGCGGCGCCGCGCATCGCGAACGTCATCATACAATAGTCCGCGTGCGGTGAAAGCTACTGCGCCTTATACCCCAGAAATTAGGGTAGTTTCGACTGTGACGCCGGCCAATTGCGCGCGCAAGGTACCCGCAGTACTGGCGTGGCTTCTTGTTCACGCGCAAATTTCACCGCATTTCACTTTCTGTGCAAGCACACTATATTTACCGCTAAATCTACTCGACTGTACACGTTATGTGGAGCAACCGACAAGCATTCTTCTAACATTAGCAGATCGGTCTCCGAGTCAGCACATACAAGCACGTTTCCTTCAAAGTAACAAATTCCAGATACCAACATAATATGTATTAAAGCCAAAGCTCACCGTCTTGCAGCTGCATACCCATCTTAAGCTCGATTAGGCAAACACCATGACCTTTATTGAAGATCCTTTCGGACAACTTTGCCTGCAGGAGAATTTGGTAATAGGATATGTGTACAGATATCTCAAACCATACCTTAGTGTAGATTGTAGACCGCTACCAATCCAGGTAAAGTTGCGATAAGCAGAATCATCTAGCAAATCTCCGACCTAGAAAAAAGATGTGCTATTCGGAGAAAAGTTATTGTTTCTATCTTTTAACTTGATAGAGGAATACGAAGAGTTACTTCACATTGCAGCAGCTGCAGCGCGGTTGCAGCGGCAACGTCTGCCTGAAGGACCGAACAACAAAAGAGAATCGAAGTGAAACACTGATCAAATCAAGCATCAACATCGAAACAAAAAAGGACTCTCTTCTTCAACTCACTTTATCGAAAACCCTGTTGAGCAATGCTAGGTCAGCAACGCTGATACTGTCGTCTTTGAACTGCATAACAGGATTGAGATACCATTCTCGACCAGCCGATGCTCCGTAGGCATAGTAGCCTGAATACCAAGGAAGTAGCGGCAAGTATCAAAACAAAAACCCATCTTTCACACAAAGCACGCATTCTCTGGCATTGTGCTCATGTTGAGAATTCCTTGTAAACGAGTGAAGCTGTGGTGACGATAGCACAAAACTGAGCACATCGGTAAGCAAACTGTGCCTAAATCGGGTATCTTAGGAATGACGAGCGATTTCGCGCTCGGCTTCAAGGGGCGCAAAACCGTAAAAATGCGATGGACAGAGAGCAAGCAGAAGTAGATCAGGAATGTTCACGAAATACATCAAACCTGGATGACTTCAGAATACGCCGGTCGAACGCTGGTCGGGTACGAACACGAATAGCTCTTCAAAGTGCCATCTGCAAAGAAGATGGTGTTCAAGCGTTGGAGAGAATCCTGAGTTGCTCTGATGATTTACCTGTCGGTGAAAACTTATGCGCGAGTAGAATTTAGTCATAGGGGAAAAATTCGTGCGAGAAAAAACCATATACCACAACATCCACGTGCCCATTCCGAGATGCGATAACGAGAAGAATTTTGTCGCCCTCTGTGCTATTCAAACGACTATCCAGCCAAGGCTTCGACGTGCGTCCATCCAAAAATACCTGGGAATAATCCATACGTGGTTTTAAAAATCAAAGATAGCATTGAGCAAATTTGAGAAAACACTCGTCATGCATACAAATCATGACTGATTAAGGCGACATATGCTTTGGTAAACGCATGGATAACTAACTCCTAAAAAAACTGCCGTAAAACTTTGGTAAACGCTTTGGTAAACGCATGGATAACTAACTCCTAAATAAAACTGCCGTAAAACGATATTAAGGCATATCAGCAGGTTCGAAAACAGAAACATCAACGACGCCGAACTAAGCGACGATTAAAGGACTCAGCGATATGCCGTTCGATCGGAGCGCGCTTCCCTCCCTAGGGAACGGTTCCCCTGAGAGCTATTTTTGCCTCTAGCAATGGGGAGAGGAGGAAGTTTGAAACCAAAATTTCAAGATATTCTAATTTTTAGGTGTAGAGTAGATTTATGTAAGAATTTTGAAGAAATTATGTGAAGTGAGAGTTTTGACAAACTCAGCTTGTCATTAGCTTGTCAAATGACAAGCTAATTTGGAAATAAGTTAAGCACGCTCTTCATTCACATAAGTTTTTCATAATATTTCATACTTTGTTACTTAGTCCTACTGCGCAGATACACACCAAATCCCGCGCAATTTCGTCGCCTCTGCGTTGCAAACGAGCCATTTTCCCATTTTCTTGATAGTGGGAAATTTTTAGAAAAAAGTTTGCCACAACCTTCAGTCACATAATTTTTCAATGAAACTCCTAAGTTAACTCCTACAGGCTTGTGACCACGGTACCAAGTTTCATACCATGTCGTTATCTGCGCGCTGCAAATGAGCCATTTGAATTCACATCTTCATTTACCAATTTTGCAAAATTTTCGGAAAAAAATGCTTATTATTTTTCCGTTCACATAAGTTTTTCATAATTTTTCATACTTTGTTTCCACTAGCTTCTTTCCGTTCGCTTACAAAATTTGGTGCCATATCGTTACGCATATACTGAGGACTAGTCATGTATGCTGTTACAATCGTGTGAGCGACGTCGCGCGCGCGGCCATTAGTGATGGCGCGGTTTGACGCGCGCGAACTCCAGTCTTCGCCTGCTGAGGCACATTATAATAACATGTTAAGATCTAAAGATAGGTTTGCCATCATGACTATCAATTTTTTTCCGGGGCTCCGCCCCGGACTCCGCAAAAACGATTTCTCCTTTGCTTTTTTTGCCCAAAACGATTTCCATCTTGTCATTTGACAACCTCGTGCCGGGCCCTGGTATCAATTATTTCTTTAACATATACTATATCGCGATTTTTCTTCATTTTTGAGATCAGCCCTAAATCAGAATCTTTTCGGCGACTGTAGGGTAGATTCATGGATGCCAATTTGTAACGTTTTCAAATGGTTAAGTGCTAACATTTAGACAAGAGTATAGCCTCTGTCATTCACACGTATTATGCTATCAAAACTGTTTATTGTATTTCTATGCATAAAAGTTCCACTTATTGGCACACATCACAACGCGATGTTCCGTTTAAGGTTTCAGTTTTCGCCTAAATCAAACAAGGAAGGGTCCCAATCTATGTTCTCTGTTGTCCTCTGCAGCTGGTTCTGCAAAACTTAGCTCTTTCTTTTCTGTTCTACCTTGGATTTCCACTGTTTGTCTCTATGGTACTATGATCTCTATGGTCTCTTTAACAGTATTTCTTCTGTGGCTACCTCTTACTTTCGTCAGGGTTTGCCACACTGATTTGAATTTGTGTCGGGGTTCCGACATCTGTCCACAAAATTTGAAAGCTAATAATAAACAACAACTTATCAAGACTTTCGATCAGCAAAGCCACGTATTGAATCATTTTCTTCTTCTCAAACGTTTACACAAATTCTTGAATCAGAACTGTCTTTGCTGTTTGTGTTTACTTTTCTTCTCGAGCTTTCAAAGCAAAGCGCATTGGATATTTTGACTTTCCTCCATCGAATTCCTCTTTAGCTCACTCTACACAACCAGATTTGGGTGTCCTGTCAATTCCTTTCTGTCCTTTTAATAGTAAAAACGAGGTCCTCAGTTTTCTTCCCCGCAAGGTAACTAAGAAAAATGATTCTCTCTTAATTAAGTCGAACAGTTTTGAAGTTGGTTTTTGCAAAAAAAGATGTAACAGTGACGGTGCTTCATGCTGTGTTCCTCACAACTCGATTTTGCCTCTTGTACTGTGGAAAGATCATTTGACATTATGGAATTTGTGGTTGGGTAAGATCTCGTTTAGAAGGAATTTTGTGGCATTTGATCAATTGCAGTATTGCTGTCAAAAACAATTCTGAGCTCGATGGTGATTAAGACTTAGCGCTAATAATTGTTACATTTTCTTCACTATAAGGAATTGACTTTTTCCATTTCTACAAACCAATTCCTCCGTAAGATTATGACTTTACAGCATCGCACGTCACAGTGAAGTGCACTCGTATGACTGTAGGACTATCATACATTAAAGATTTTTGAAATTGTCATTAATTCCTCAATGCTGTCAATATCGCCTGATATCGGGATGGAGTCTTTAGTTGCGTTCTACAACTGCTCAATAAACTTATTGGTTAAAAAAAACAAAATTATCTACCTATCAGGAAATGAAAAATTTTTTCTTAAAAAAACGAATACTCTTGGAAGATTTGCTGCCTCTTGTATGGTGCAAGGATAGAGAAGGAATTTATGAGTGTTCAGCAAGGATAGAGAAGGAATTTATGAGTGTTCAACGAATACAGCAGTAATGGATTCTATACCGAGGGCCCGTTCTGGAAAATAAACATGAATTAGAGAAATTCGGGCTATGAAATTCATCGTCTCAGTTCCAAGAGTTGAAGGAAATTGAATGTTTTGAAGTCCGATTTCCTTCCACCCTTACACAGTTTGCATGAAACAGAAAGCGCTTGTTTTGTTGTTGAAAAAAATGAGGGTATGAATTTTGAACTACAATTTATCTAATTGCGTTTTATTTTGAAGCATCGTTCGTTGCACCACCTAACTAAGGTGATGAACAATGCCAAATCTATGTTATGGAGCCGATTCGCTTTGAATCCTTTTATTCAGGTAGAAGTTGATCAGCTCGAGATGTCTTTCCAACATGAGATTCTAGTTAAAACCAGCGTCCTAGTTAAAGCCGTGCACTCCCGATTACTACCTACAATACCGCTCACAGAATGCGCAAAATTTCCGTGAATGTCGCAGAATTCCAGGAATTCCGCGAAGGTCTGCGAAATTCCGGAAATTTCGCGAACTTTCGCGGAATTCCTGGAATTCTGCGACGTTCACGGAAATTTTGAATATTCTGTGAGCGGTATTGTAGTCTACAAGAAGGCGCTGTAATTAGGATCTAAATGCATCTGCGTTAATCTGGTCCTCTGAGTAGCCTAAGTATGCAAAAAAGGACCTGAAACCCCCACAAGTGCTATCAATTCACGCCCTCTCTATCAAGCTGCACCCACTCGAGTATTGACAATTGTCTATGGCTTTAGGGTAGGGACACCCAAAAAGGTTTTTTTGGGAGCTTGCACATTGCATTTCACATCCGTTATCAGAGCCGCGGAAAGGCCACGGAATAAATTGGAGATCAAAGATTTGACTGGATGCCGCCTTTACAAGTTTTGCAGTTCTCTGCAAAGTAATAACGTACATTTTGCTCGTTTTCTTCTTTGGTTGCTTCTTGCGGTGAACTCCTTTCTAACACCACTACTATTTATAGAAAGCCCCTCTCAATCTTGACCGGTTATGTAATAGGATTGGGCAAATGCTCTGTAGTATGTAAAGCAGGCCAAAACTACACCATGATTCCAACTAAGTTTTCGTTAGCTTGTTTCCAGAAAAGAATCATAACCCGCCTATGGGAGGGTAATGATAATTTTCTGGAAACTCTGGAGGGTTGAGAATCAATCATTCAGCATGAAAGAATCCCTGCCGGTCGTGGGCTTTTGCTTTTTAATAAATGTCCTTTTTCCACTCTCCTTTTCATCATACCATGTTTATAAAGCATGTTTTATACTTTGTCAAGATATTTATTCGACAACGACTTTGAAAACAAGCGGTGATTTATTGGGGGTTCCGCTTGTTTCAGAATTGATTCATTTGAAATTGCCTTCTTCCTTTTTTTAGCTTGAATAGCATTTGTTTTCCTAATTTTTAGCTGCTATGATTTATGAACTCTGAAGCACCAAAGGCAGTAAAACCGGTCCAAGCTAGAAGGAGATTGCGCCGAAGGAGCTGGATCAAGGATTTTGAAGGTTGTGCAGAAACTCTAGGAAAAATCTTATTTCAGTAACAAAGCTGGGTTAATGTTGAAGTTCCGTCCAGCTGAAGAAAGGAGAAGGTCAAGAGGAGTGTTCTGGTTGAAGAATGCCTATTACTTTCGTCTCAAAAAGTTTATACAAGCGATGGACTAACCAAAAATTGAAGATTCGTTTGTTTCGCTTGCGCTGGGGTTAATTTTCCCGTAAGCTTAAAGGAGAGACATTTTTTGTGTCAGCGTTGGATTAATAATGATGTTACGTCTAATTCCCAACTGCTGCGGGCAGGGCTCGGCACGAGGTGGCTTTAGCAATTTTCATGAAAAGAAGTCCCCATTGAATTCGCAACAAACATACCCTTTGATTCAACTGGCTTGGCGGCTGGAAGGCGGGGCTCTGTGACATAATTAAGGCTAGATAATGATCAGAGAGCACGCGCGCGAGTTACATGCAGACTGCGTAGCGGCAGCGAGCGACCCTAGTTGGGTCACGAAGCCCCGCCTTCCAGCCGCCAACCAGTTGAATCGAAGTTTACGATATCTATGACGCGCCCATGAAATCAAACGAAACCAAGAAAAATAGGAAAAATACAAGTAACGATTAACAAACGGATTTATGAAAAACCTTATAATGTTTGCATTTTCCGAATGGGCGGCATGCTGTGTCTGGCGAGCATCACTGCGCGCTTGGTCAAAATTTTAGGAGGACTGTAACTAGGCGGGGAGGAGGAGGTTTGGTGCAGTAAAAAAGAGTTTGTGGGGTTTTGGGCTCAAAAGCCACCTAACTGCGAGAAGAGTTTGTCGCGCCCTCAGTCCACATAATTCTTTCATAAATTTTCGTACATAGTTCCAACTCCCATCGCGCATGTACTTTTGGTGGCAAACCATTTTCTCTTCGCTGTACAACCATTTTGTTGATTTCGATGCAGTTTTTAAATTTCCGTGATTACAGAGAAAATTGTTCTGTATTGGAACTCGAAATGTTGGTCCTGTAGAGAATAGGATCGGTAAAGCAGTGATGACACTTGCGATGTCTACTGAAGACGAGAAGGTGGAACAAAGTAAGGACAGAGGGGAGAGGCAAAGATGAAAGCTGGGAATATCTATGTCAATGTGACAATAGCGATTTGTTGAGTTCTGTTTGTCACGGAAGGGCTGCTAAAATTTGCTGGACTTGGACGTAAAACTGGACAATTCCTCGAACTTTTTATTCGATTAATACAATATGAAAAATTAGTAAAATGCCTCGCATATAGGGTATTCTCGTCGCTTTCTCTCCCCAATACGATAACAAGCTCTACAAAATGGTTATCTTACTTTTGCATCAGCTCTAAACCAGCTCCAGTTTCAAGCCGAAAACTAAAAAGATTCAACTGCCTAAAAATCGCGAAAAATCATAACTCCGCTCAAAAAAGTCCTATAAAAATTCTAATTTGCTCGCGTAAACATACCCATCTAAGACATTAACATAGGCCATTACCATATTTTTTCCTCGCTTGGAAATCAACAAAACGAAGATTTTTATGCTTTTGCCGAAGTGATGCTGTGCTGTCCCTTCATAGATAGTTGTGCAACAGTAGCCTGTAGAAAAGCAAATTTTCAGCTCTTTACGAAATATGGATTTCAGCGTAAGGCACCCAACTAAGGCCATCTATGTTCGATATTTTTCGGGAACCAAAGCTTGTGAGGGGCTGGAAATTTACATTTGCACTTCTACAGGCTAGTACTATGCAACTATCTATGAAGGGACAGCACAGCATCACTTCGGCAAAAGCATAAAAATCTTCGTTTTCTTGATTTCTAACCGAGGAAAAATATGGTAACGGCCTATATTAATGTCTTAGATGGGTAGTGTTTATGCGAGCAAGTTAGAATATTTATAGGGCTTTTTTGAACGGAGTTATGATTTTACTCGATTTTTAGGACAGTTGAATCTTTTTAGTTTTCGGTTTGAAACTGGAGCTGGATCAGAGCTGGTGCAAAAATAAGATAGCCATCTTGTACAGCTTGCTTTGGCCTATCAAATGTTACTTCGAAACCTATTTAGAAACAAGAATTTCATGATTTATTGCGATTGAAAACCAAAACGGACGGAACTTATGAGATAGCCTGATATGACTCGTGATTATGGGAGATTATTGACGTTAGCTTGAGATCAACTTAGTTGAATACGAAATGAGTTATCCGCTTTGCGTAGCATAACAGACAATAAGTAGTCAAATGACTGCAATTTGGAATGTCTGCAACCTCGCCCACTAAGTCTAGCTTTCTAGGCGTTTACAAAGAACGTATCCTTTTGCAAACTGAGAAACAGATCGAGTTCTTCAATTATTGAACAAAAGAATTTGTTTTACAGTTTCATGCAGTACCAAAGCAAGCTTTTCATGGAAATAGAACGCGAATAGCTAACGCAGTATGTCCACTGCCATTTTTATCATGAAAATTCATTCAAAATGAATATACAATGAGTATACATACATACAAAACTTTATGAGGGCTCGGCACGAGGTGGCTTTCCAAAAATAAAGAAACAAAATCCTCCCTGACTTTCACAAACATTTACGAAATCCTTTTTGACTCTCATC